CTGTCAAATAAATAAATAAAATCTTTTAAAAAAATAAATTAAAAAAAATAAAATAAAATAAACACAGACTATAAATTTCTAAAGTGGGGACAATCAACAATACATAATGCTAATACAAATATATACAGGCATTGCAACTATGTAAAAGTAATATACCACACTAATAAGAAAAATAAATTTCATGTTCAAGTGATTGCTCCCTTGATCCTCCCTTTTCACTATTCCCAAATAAGCAGCTAAAACTGGTTATACATAACAAAACTTAGTATTCTTGTATAAATACATCAGGACTATTGTTTTACCTTTATTATTTAGAAAGGTACTGTAATAAGACCAAATACAAATTGCTAATGGACTAAAATTTAAATTAAAACATGTCAGATATTTAACACCACCCAGGAAAAGTCAAGCTCATTTTTTTGTAATGTTTTAGGAAATTATCTCAGAGGCTATTGTCCGAATACCCAAACTGCACCATCAGGATGTATTAAGGCAAACCCACACTAACTTACACTAAAAATTACTAATGAATACAGAAAAATAATTCTTTTTTTTTTTTAGAGAAAGAATTCTAAAAGTTCTAAAAGCACATTTTGATACTTTTATCTAAAGAACAAAATTATTAAGGGTGATTTCGCTGTGTAAAGAATAAGTAATCAAAAACACACAGTAAGACATTAGGATCATTTAGTTGCTGAAGGACAGACTGCTAGGCAAGAAGTTTCCAATCCTCCCAAATTCTCACAGGCCATCTTGAGGCTAGGACTTTGCCAGTCAAAGACAGAGGCAACTAGAAGCTACAAAACAGTGGACAAGAGTGACAGAGACTTCACTGCCTGGATGACTTCACTGCCTAGGACACAATCCCTCCATTCTCATTTGTAAAGTACAGATACCAATATTTCCTCATCTCCCAAAAAGTAAGTAAGGTAACATACAGAAAGCACCGGGCCAGTGCCTGTCACAAAGCATTCAAATTATGGCCCCACTGAATATACATACTGATACAGATGTGTACACATGCCGGTTACTATATACATGCATTTCCCAGCTCAGTTCACTGAGAGCACCTAGGAGCATGGACACTTCATGGTAGCGAGGAGCACACCTAGTGTCCACAGCTCTCGTTTTGCTCTAAACACCATTCTTCTTATGAAAGGAATCAGAACTCCCTGGAGAAGTGGTTGCTTCCAAGGCTGGGAAAGGGAAAATATGAGACTAGAACATCTTGTGGTGTCAGAAAATAAGGACGTGCTCAAAAAGAATGGGGGCATGTTGAGAAGACACGGGAGCCAGCCTGAACGAGGCCCTATGGCCAAAGCCTGAACAGTATGAGCAGCAGAATTAATAATGATAGTGTTGGACCATAACCCACAGAATAGAAAAATCAGTAGGTAAGTCCATACTGATACATATAAATAAAACAGGGGAGAAAGGATAGTCTTTCCTTACAGAAGAATCCCATGTGGAATTCTGTGGATAAGTGTGGAAGAAAAGAAAACAGATAATCACCACTCAACAAATATTACACTAATGACTGTTGAAAACAAGTTCCATGGACAAATGCTAAAATTATCAAGATATTAAAATTAGTAGAGAAAAGGTTGAGGAGAAATAGGATATTTACTAATTACAATGAGAAAAAATAGTAACTTTACTATAGAGAAATCTGGCAGACACAGTCCACTGGTAATAAGACACACTGATTCACGACAAATTCCCTGATATGATGCATTGAGAACTCAATGTGCCCTTCTTGCCAAGACTGCATACATAACCTTACTCTAATCATGAGAAAACATCCGACAAACCCAAGCTGGGAGGCATTCTACAAAATAACTAGTAACTCAATGGTTTTCCTCAGCAGTCCACAGACATAAAAAACGAGAAAAAAATTGAGGAACTGTCACAGACTGAAGGAGACTAAGGAGACATTACAAATAAATATAAAGTGAGATCCTAGATTGGATCCTGGAACAGAAGAAGAATGTAAATGGGAAAACTGGCATAATTCAAATAAGATACACAGTTTAGGTAAAAGTACTGCTCTAATGTTAACTGCCCAGTTTATTAATTACAGTGTAATTATGTAAGATGCTATTAGGGGAAGCTGGGTAATGGACATAAGCAAACTGTAATTTTACTACTTTTCTGTAATTATAAATTCATTTCAAAACAGTTTTTTGAAGTATTTTTAAAATATGATATCTGTAATTATCCAATGTATAAAATAGCTATCATTTTGTTTTGCCTTAAAATCATTAAATTATGTTAAAATATGCTCTAACTGTTGAAACTAAAATATGTATCTCTAAAAAACTTAGCTCTGAAACATTTAATGAAGAAAATACATTACAGATCTCATTACCTGTAATTTCATATCCATAAGCAGCTAGTTGTCCAGCCATATATTCTCCATCCGAATTATTATGAGAACAACCCCATGTTCGCATCCAAATTTTCTGTATGCCTGGAATAGTGCTATTAAACAATCAATTAAAAAAAAGGTAAGTCTCATCAAGGGATTTTTAGAAGAAGAAAACACAAGATGATTTCTGAGCATATTATTCAAAAACACACAGCAACCCTTCACAATCTATTCATGAAATGCACCAACTTAATCCACAATCAATTGTTACTAAGTCTATAATCAAGATAAAATAACCACAGAATTCTAAGACTCTCTACATAAAAAGATCTCCTTTTTCTCTGAATTATATTTTAAATTAAGACTCTCTACATAACAAGATCTCCTTTCGCTCAGAATTGTATGTTAAATTCAGTACTACTAATGTACTATCACAAAGTTAAACTCATAGAAAGGTAAATACAAGTAACAGCAAAGAAAATGGTTCTAGCAACAGAAGCAAAGAAAAACTAAGTACATCTACCTGCTCACTGACTCCTATATAACAGTTACAATCTTTATTTTATAACTTAGATATAAATAGCTGAATCAAAACAGAAAAACTATCACCCTGTAGCATAATTAAAAATATTCCAGGGTGCCGGGCGCCTGGGTGGCTCAGTTGGTTAAGCGACTGCCTTCGGCTCAGGTCATGATCCCAGGATCCGGGGAT